TTTCAATGTGTAAATACCTCCCAGAACAACATATTACCCCAATACGTCGTACTCTTCATACGTAAACTTCTAATACCACAAATACCATTCGTAGATAAATTGCTACTAATTAGGAAGTACACGAGAGAAAGTCCCCTTCAAGTGAAGATACTGATGGGCCTCGACGAACACTGTTTCGGACTTAATTTCATTAACTTTATCAATAACAGAATCGGAACGGAATGGCAATGAAACTAAGAGGCATTTAAACATTAAACTCCCCGGATTCCAGAACACGTAGTGCAGGGGCTGTACCGTCCCTTGGACGATTGGTATATATATCTCTGGGATAGGTTAATAATAATAAATCATGACGAAAATGTGGTCAATAAAATGTGGTAGATGTTTAAAATTAATTTGCAAAATAATTTTTTTAACAAATAAAATTTAAATAAGTATTTATGTCTAGAATATGAAGTATCAAGAATTTAAATGTTACTTATTTTTCGTGTTTTTGTATGAGATGGAAACTTTGACATGGTGAATATAGTCACAAATATCGAAGTATTAAGAAGAGTGGAAAAAAAGAAGCTTTGAACCTCGTAAAAGTTAGGAAGATATAATATATAAGTTATGTAATAAAACGTTTATAAGATAGGACATTTATGGATATTATAGATTTTTTAACATTTAACAGACTAAATTTTATTCATGGGTTTTAAAAGAATTCGACCAATCTGAACGTTAAGTGAACCCTGCGTATTATGACACTTTTCAAATTAATTATCCGAGCCACCCATCCGACTGTGTCAATTCTTATTTCTTATATAAAACCCGTTTTGGCAAGCCGACCCCAGGCTGACTATTTACATGTAAAAATCAACGAAATATTAGACAATAAGTAACCAAATATATATTTTCCTCTGTACGCAGTGAAACGGTAGGTACGGCAAATTTGAATCTGTCGATGTTTCATTTAGATTGGCCGTAAAGTGTAACGTGCGTTGCGAGCGCGAGATGAATATTATATCTGCATAAGTAGTAAGTAGTGGTAGTGCATTAACTGGCTTTTCTGGTATTTTAATGATCAATTTGTTTTGTATTGATTTGTTTTGATTTTTTTTTTATTTAAAATAAACGCAGATAACCGTCTAGTTCGATGGTAGTAAAATTTGCTGTATGAGTAGGAAACAATAACGTACTCACCACTTAGAAATTTTTGGAATTTACGCTAATTTTAAAACCTAAGCTCCCAGGAAACTGGAAAGGTGTACAGTCTTGTAAGAGTTTTAAACCTAAGAGGATACTAACTGCACTGGTGTGCGCCGTATTTCTGATACAAACGAGAAGCAAATATAACTGAAGGAAGCTTAGAAGCTTACGAGAGATTTGGAAGTCTCAGGTCACGCTAAATCTTAAGCCAATTACGTCTGGCGAAAGACGGGCCAAACAATAGCAGTTTGCAGAGCCTTTGTAGAGATAACTTCTCACAGCATTTAATGCTATATTAAGTTATCGCTACCGTAAATAGTTAAAATGTTTTGTGATATATTTAAAGTTGGTTGTTTTTTTAAAATTTAGGTGTAAACCAATTTAGGTAAATTAACCTAAAAATGCAAGCTATTAAGTACAGATCGAAAAAGAGAAAATCAGAAAAAATCGAAATGATTGGAATCCTTTCAACCCAAACGAAGGACCACCTACCATCGAAAACGTTACCCAAGCTATTAAAAAGCTTAAAAATAATAAATTGCCAGGAGTTGATCAAATTTGCAGTGAGCTCTACAAGAATGGTGGCGATGCCCTACTACAGACACTGCATAAGCTTTTACTTCTCGTTTGGCATAATGAGACCATGCCTTGTGAATGGTCTCAAGGCGTGATATGCCCGTTACATAAAAAAAGGTAACCAGCTCCAGTGTGACAACTATAGAGGTATAACCCTGTTAACAACTGCTTACAAAATACTAGCAAATATTCTCTACGAAAGGCTGCAAGTTTACACAGTGGGCATAGTTGCTGGATTAGGAATATCAAGCTGGATTCACTCCACTTGACAGTGTCAAGAGAGCAGTGCTATACCAATCAATGCATGGTTTGACGATTCAAAATTTATACGTTACAGCAAAGAATTTTCAAGATGTCTATTAGACAAGTTAATTAAAATTGATCCATCGTTATTTAATAAAATAAAATTAGAAAATGAATTGAAAGTTTCAGAAGTTGGGAAGTCACAAGATATGGATAATTTTATATACTGCAATTCATTACAACAAACTGTTCCAAAAATTAATAAATTATGGTCATTAATTATCTCATTACCTACCTTCAATTTCTGCCACAAATGAACAAAGTTTCTCTTGTCTCAAGAGAATCAAAACGTATTGTTGAAACACCACGAAACAAGAGAAAATATCTTGTTTCGTGAAGAGAAAATAAGCTTGTCTCAAATGTCAATAGAAAACAAACATTTAAAATTTCTACAAAACAAAACAATTTTAAGATGACGGTATAACCCATTTTGCCACTTCCAAACAACGTAGACTAGAGTTAATTTATAAAACACGTTTAGGTTCTAAATTTATACAAAAAAAAATCAAAAATCTTCTATAATAATTGAAACTATTTTATTAAAGATTATACCTGTATACTCTGAGGAGCCGAAAAACCCTTGCCAGCCCTTTCTCTAAAGCTACGGGCCGCCACTGATACTAAGAAAAAAAAAACACCACGCTTAGAATTTTCAACTAAAAACATAGATATTTGTCTACAAGATCGAGGCCAAAGTAAGTAACCCGTCAAGTTTGAAATAACATAACCTTAAACAACTTTCAGTTATCAAAAAGCACAGCTCACTATTTTTGAAATATTCTTTTTGAGAACGATTTCCGGAGTGGAAATGAAAACTTCAAACATTAGTTAAAAATATAATTTTCATTACAATCAATCGTTGATTATTTAGTTATTCTTGTGTTTTTTAATAACTATTTAAAAAAATCTTCAATTATTTCTACTATACGTCGTTACAAAACATATTGGCGTGAAAACAAGTCACACTTTGCTGGAAAATAGGTGTGACAATTTCTTGTAGATCAAATTTCGATATAAATATAATTCCTTGCATATTACCGTGCAAATAATAAGTATTTTAATTGGATAATGTAAATGATACGTAAAGCAATTATAATATGTTTGTTTATTACAATTCAACCGCATCAACTACTAAGGACTATTAGCAGCACAATAATTTTTGTAGAGCATGTGTCGAGTAAATGCCTTGTTACTAAGTAATGTCTTCTGCATTGTTTTTTTAATAAAAATACCTTAAATAATTTGGCTTAATTATCAACTTCAGATAATGTTAACATTTTTATTGGTAAATTGTCTATTTAATGAAAACAATTTCCACAGACTTCTCTTGGTTTTAATTATCTTTCTCTGAGCATTTACTAATATTCAGTGCACTACTCCTTTATCCAATAGAAATTATTCCTTTCTTAAACTTAAGTGAAATTAGTGAGCTGGTTTGATAGTTCGTTATATTAATATCGATGGTTAAAATAGCTGTAAATGAAACTTTACGACACATTACCACGCATTACCACGGGATCAATAAGGTGTACTTTTTTGCCAGCATAGCACCCCCAACATTATACGTGAAGTATCAGCTCGGAAGGAAAAACATAAACTATCTCTATGGCTACTAACCCGCCCGTCAACGCCTCAAAACCAGGACTATCTGTGGTGGTTTTCTGCATATCACCGAAGATCTGACTGAGCCAGTCCTAGTGACTAAACTGAGCATGAGAGGAGTTCAAAGTGACAACAGTAATAACTGGATGATGCCCTCCGAGAACCTCCCATCTGAAGACAAAGCAGGATAAATGACATGGAAAGCGTTCAATAGACTCTGTAATGAGGTGACAAGATCCAGAGCCAACCGAATAAGATAGGGTTTTCTCTGTGTGGCGGCCCTATACAAACACCTTCTGGTTTGTGCTTTATTTCCAACTACATGCTCAATTGGGACGTAGTTTGCGCTGTACCAAATGTGCTTGACGTCGCCAATTTTGGCTAAAAAGTGTGTAGCCGTTCTATTGTCTTTCCCTAATTTTGTATATACACCTTTTATTTGTAATTATTTATGTACAAATATATCAGTTCGATAGTTACATAAATACATCTACTTAACAACAATTAGTATGCTTTCAAGAATAACTCGATATGTTATTTTCAACCAAGATGTAGAAGAATTGTACTAATTAACTATATTCTTTTTTAGAGAAAATGAGAAATATAAAATAAAGTTAATGTTATGGCACATTTTTTACTGCTTTTTTCAGTCCTAACTCAAACAGCCATTTTATGGAAATAAATAGGTGAAATAAATATTACTTTTAATGAGGAACATGGAGAAACCTTAACTCCATTAAGGGTTATTAAATAAATGTATATTCCAACAAATATTAGCGTAAGATCTATTTAGATATTTTGGTGAAACTTGTCTAGCCATTGCGCCTTTTATTCTATTGCCTGCTACACTGAAATAAAGATGTCAAGAGATATTTGGAGATAATATTCGTTCACAAAAGATTCTGACACATTTATCCTGGGAAATCTAAATATATTTTTCTTGGGTATTGTGTGCATGAGGACATGCTCACTTTATTTTAAATTCAGTGTGACACTAAGGTATTAAATTTGATCTTATATGGTAATCGTTGAGAGTTACACAAATAACTACTTCATGTTTAAAAATAAAAAAAAGGTATAAAAAGCAAAGATGTAGGTACTTAATAATTAAGTACTAATATAAAAGTTTAAAAAATGAAAATATTCTGTATATTTTGACTACTCAGAGTAAACAGTAGGATGAAATTAAAAAAAAGTACAGGTCAGCAGAATTTTTGTGTTCCGCAAGAAAGTTAGTTGATATTCTTTGTTCATTACGCATTTTCTGTATATTCCATTTACAACCCTTCCGCAACAGCTTAACCAACCTACCACTAAATTATAGCAGGATGAGAAGACCAGTTAGTTTAAAAGTTGGTCTTTTAAAACTAACAATCTTATTCTCGGTAGGCCAGTTAAGTTCGTATTTCACAACAAAAGAATGGACCCGTGAGAAAAAATCACTTTTGGGAAGCTTAGAGCATATTGATGGTGGTACTGGTGCCTTGCTGTTTGCTTTCGACCAATTAGTTAAAGCATCTGATCTAGAATTCTATTCTTTATAGAATGTTTGGAGTCATTCTGGAACTTTCATCAGAGCATGATGAATGAAGTATACAGTGAAAAATAACAAAAAATCTTGAAAATACCCAAGCGATTATCTTCAAAAAGAGAAGGGGTAACCCAGAAGAACAGCTAACAGTACAGGACAGCCCATCGTATGAAAAAACAAAGCTAAATACCTAGTAGTCATATTGAAGCAAGGTATGACATTCACATATTATATTAACGCGTCAATCCAGAAAACAGCAACGGCCGTAGCCGCAATAAGAGTGCTCACATATAAGTCATGTAAATAAGAAAAAGATACAAACAGCATACACTAGCTGCCTTAGAGAAGCTGCAAATGTGCCTAGATACGTCCCTAAACGTTTCCTGTTCAGAGATTTAGAATAAGTATGGGTACTGAATCTGATTGAAAAAAAAAGCCAGAAAAAAATCAGCTGAGCTAAAAGATCATCTAAACCGGATCCTGCAAGAGATATTAAGGTATGATGAGTACCGTAGATAGAAGCACAGAAGACCCAAACAGCAAATATTAGCAAATACAAAATAAAGTCTAGATAATCGTAGCTCTATCAAAAGAAAATAACACACTCACCTTTGACATAGCAGTGAAGCAGTGTACCTATTTATTAATGTTTATTTTATACGTTTCAGACAGTCTTAAAAAAATTCTACAAAAAAAACGCAAAAAATGGCTTTGGTCATCAAAAATATTATTAAAACACTAACAAAAGACGCAAACTACAAAAAACACTAACAAAACTGGCACGAGGGACCCACACCCACGAACACCTCGTCGCCTAAATGGACCAAGCCCGGAGCAGGGATTCGGTGGCCGAGCAAGCAATATAGTTCGATGATAAGTCAGTAGAGAATGTAGCCCCTCATGCTATCCTGCATAGTTCGGAGCAGGTTATCATGCGGGAGTCCTTGTATCCAGGGTGTCCACTTGACAAACACTTTGCTTGAAGCCTCTATATCGCATCAGCATGCTATCGGTGGTGGATGGTCTGGAGCATTGGGGCGAGGTGAAATAGTTCTGATTACATGAGCTAATCCTCCCTACAATGAATTGGAGCACCTGAATGTCATTTTTCCAGTCTAAAAGGCTACTATTACACTTGTTTGCTACAAGACATTTTTGTCTTAACATACGTCATGGTGTTGATAATGTATAACAACATCATCAGACAGCCGATAATTAACTTGAATTTTTTCTATTACCGACACTTTATTTGCTATGAAGAATTGTGCATTGTAAGGGAATATATCAACTTTAATTGTCTAGAGCAGCTTGGCTTAAAATATTGTAGCAGATGTTTTACGACGAACCTTATTTGTTGAAGCATCATAGATTAATGTCTAGTAGTAATCTGCCAGCAGACTAGGACTTAATTTACCTTGGTAACGCTTTTACATGTCTACAACGTCTTGGTGGAACCATTCTCCATGTTTATTACTTAAAAGTTCTTACAACAATTTATCCTATAATCCTATAAGTCCTTATAAGTGTTGTTATGCGTCTGGTAGTAAAATTATTTTTACCTTCAGATGTTTTACCCACCGAAAACTTGTACCCTGGAAATCCTGGGGAGCAGACATTCAAAAGGTGGTTTTATCTAACTAATGCGGACTCTGTTAACTGCCGCTCTAAATTCCCCCAATTGTGCCTTGCGTAATAAGCTGCAATAATGAGTATCTTTGCTCTCTTATAACATGGCCTAAGGACTCAAGTCTTCTTATTTTGATGGTCAATATTATATCAGCTTTATTTCCTATTCTTCTATTAACTTCGGCGTGTGACATTCTTTAAGTCCATGAAATCTATATTTTGCATACTGCTGCTCTGAAAATACTTGTGGTTGTTGTGTGTGGAACCACGTACGTAGAACCACTGTTTTTAGTGTGGTTAATAACTCTTTTCCGTTTTGGATTCTTAATAAAACGTCCTGGTTAGTAACATGGTCGGTACAGAATATCTTCGGAATTTGACGATAAAGCCACCTTTCGAAAGCCTCAATTTTCTTGCGGGTGGCGTCCGTGAGAGTCCATGACTCAACTCCGTACACCAGTATATTAAAGATATAACATCGTAGTAACCTGATATTTATGGGTACTGATAAATCATGGCATTTGAATAGTTTAGCCATTTTTTTAAATGCAGGTCTTGCTTTCTCTATCCTACATTTCATTTCAAGGGAATGTTCCAATTTTTATTGACGTTCGTACTAAGGTAGGTGTATGTCTTTACTCTTTCTATTGGTTGACCATTCACACTGATTCTTTCAATTTGCTGTTCCTTCTTAGAGATCATCATACATTTTGTTTTCTTAATGTTCAGTGAAAGCCCATATCTCTGACTTACTTCTGTGATTCTATTCTTTAACTCCTGGAGGGTTTTATAACTGTCAGTGAATACCACCGTGTCATCTGCGTAACTGATGTTATTGATGCATTCTCCGTCAATTCGAATTCCTGCTTCAACATCCTCTAATGCTTCTTGAAAGATTTCCTCATAGTATACGTTGAACAGCAACGGTGATAGTATACATCCCTGTCGGACCCCAAGTTTGATTTTGATATCATCAGATTCTCCTGCCTCTGTACGGATAGATGATATTTGATTCCAGTAAAGATTGCTAATAATTCTTAGATCAGAGGTGTTTATCCCAATATTTGTTAATATCTCCATCAGCTTGTCGTACTTTACTGTATTAAACGCTTAATGGTAATCAATAGAGCATGAATAAATATCACATATCACAATTCACATCCCTACATCATTGAAATATCACTTGTATGCTAAAGAGAGCCTCTCTCGTACCAATTGCGTTTCGAAAACCAAACTGTTATGGTTGATTTTTTCTTCGCATAGTCTTTATATCCTTGGATGTATTATTTTTTTAAATAACTTGGAGACAACACACAATCTTGTCTCACTCCTTTTTTTAATCTATTTATTATGATAGTTTGCTCTCATGATTTACTCCTGCATTGACTTGTTAGAATCGTGTTATCCGGGTGTGCTTATGTAGTAACTCATATTGTTTCAATTTGCTTTCAGTTACTTATATCGGAGGGTTTTTTAAAGGTAATAAGTTCAAATATAGTGTCGTATATCGATACGGGCCTCGATATAAATAAAAGGAGCAGTATTTGGCCCGAATCCTATTTGGTTGGTTGTTATTTTCGTTTATGCACTCTTGCATTCTTTCCAATATAATTCTCATCGTAAAATACTTTGTGCCAAATAACTGATAAATTGATTAAATAACCCCAAAAAGCAGCTTGGCCTATTTTTTTAAAAGACAACAATATATACCATACGTAAAGGGCTTATCAGGAAACTTAAAAAGGAAAGGAAATAAGTACAACATCACAACAACATTCAAAATCCACAAATATACACGAATATGTGGATAGACCCTGTGCTATGACAGAAAAACAGGAAAGCGACAAAGCGAGATTCCCTCGAACGGGAGAACGAACGTACACAACACACATAAAGGGTAGGCCAGGGATGAGATTCGATTGGTTTGTATGTGGTACGAAACGGGATTTCTCTCTCAGATCGGACTTAATTGTATTTACATCAAGAATCACTTTTTGTTCTGTTGTTCTGTTAGGGAATAATATCTATCTATTGACGATTTCGATTAGAATGACGATTTAAATACTCATTATTTTGGATATTCCTTCGCATAATATTAGTCCCTTGTAATACAGTAGTGCATCTTGTAATATAAATATTTCTGTTATTGATGCGTTAATCGTAAAGTCAAATAAAACGCATTTTGGGTTAAACTTTTTGTTTTTTACCATTAAATATGTAGAGCTAATAAAACAAACGTAATTTAAGGGAAATTTAAGGACATGAAATCGCGTATTTGTAAGGCTTGTTAGACACCATGCTACATGACGTGACATTAGTTGGTTTTACATTGTGAATGTAGTTTGCTTATATAGGGTTATAGTAAATAAGTGGGAAAGACGTCGGGAGGTGATTTTACATGAAAAAAATAATATATGTACAGTGAAATAAACAATAGGCAGTTTACTATATAAACATATTTCCGTAAATGTTTCCGAGATACGAGGAGTTATTGTTTTTCTTACAAACTGACGATTTATTTATTGCTTTGAAACCGATTGAGACATGCAAATGAAATTTGGTGAGTTTTAAGAGGTAGTTATTAGGCCTTCTTTGACATACGATAAAGAATTTCTATATTTATCATTGGCGCGCATAATGGCAATCATCTTAATTAAAAAAAATAGTACGCTACTGAAATATTTCAAATTAAAAATCATATTTGAATTCTTCGTTTAATTCGTGAAAAGAAATTCTGTTGCCTATTTTTTATATGAGGCGCCGTTTTTATGCAAAAACAATAAATTATCTTTTCGCGTATTTTTCATTTCTTTAATACTATCAATAACTATCACTAAATAACACTAAACCAGAGCAATAACAGAAAATAGTACTAACTTTTTAAAATATGCCCAAAGCTGCAACAAGTATTTAAAATGGCCTCCCTTAGACGTAACACAAGATTCAACTCTTCGCCTAATTGATTGTCATATTTGCGCAAATATTCGTTGTGTATTTCTTATTCTAAAGAACTTATAGGGGCTAAGACGAAGGCAGAAAGGAAATATAACTGATTCTGACGGAAACATCATCTTGGACAAACAGAGTAAAATAAGATGCCAAGATGATGCAAATACTAAAAAAAGCAGGAATTAACAACCAAGATCTGAAAATAATTAAAAATCTTCACTAGAATCAGACAGCAAATCTCAGAGTTGAAGGATTGAAGTCCTCTAATCTTTAATCTGTACTCTGAAAGAATATTTATCGAAGCTTTGCACGAAACTGAAACAAGTATTCTACTAAATGGTTACCGGCTAAACAACATCAGATGTGCAGATGACACTATAGTATTTGCGCACAACTTAGAAGACCTAAAAGTTCTTATGAAAAAAAATTACGTATTAC